AAATATAGTCTGTTGTAAAAATTAAAAGAAAAACTAAATGAGTCCACATTTGAAAAAAATCAGAAGCATATTATAGACTAGATGAAGCTATACTAGTTACTTTTTTTTCTTATGTGACCAAGAGTAAAAGCTAGTTTTAATTTTCTTAGATAGGAGGTGTATATGTAGAAACCTGGGTGTCCTTGGATTAGCTCTAGTTTTGGAAAAGGAGATTAAAATCTTAAATTAAGAGAAGGTCAATTCAACCGGGAAGTTGAGCTTAATTTTGTATATAAAATCTAAAAAGTGTATATATGTATGTAATTGTTTATTGATGTTTTATTTTGTTTGTAAATATATGTTTGCATTTGTTTGTTTGTCTTAATAAAATAAAATTTATTTAAAAAAATAAAGATTTAGATGTCTTTTCCTAAATGTCATGTTGTATCCTACATGAGTGGAGGTGAATAATTCAAGAACACAGTATAGTAACTGACAAGTACAGAATGATCCAGTTCACACATCACAACAAATCAGGATTCCACCAGAATACTAACTGGTGATCCATGGGTGTCTCATGTTAGCTACAACAAGGACTAATGGCTAAATCAACCTTTGGTTTGTGGGTTCATTAGCATAATATCAAAGCTTGGCAGGAGATGGTGCTTGGACTATTTGTCCTTGAATGAACCAGAGAAACAACTCAAGAACAAACCATGGGTTTTACTCTGGCTTATTGATAGAGAAACAAGACAGAGTTCCAAATTTTCTCCTAGTGAGATTGGACATTACATTAACAAACAGCCACTCTCTTCCAATGGTCCTGTGGAATTCTAGGAGTCGTAGTTGAAAAAAAAGTGATTTGTCCAAGTTATGCGAAACAGCTTGCTGGCTTCTCTTTAAAAACCAAGTCTAAACATGTCCAGAGCTAGGAGCTTATCACATACTTAAACAAATCACCTTACCTGATCTCATTTGAAATTTAAATCGGGCAGCATCCTGATATTATCAGAAGGATTTAGCTGCTGAATTAGCCACCTGGGTCCCTCTCGGGTCCCTCCCCGCTCACAGGGGGTGCTCCAGTGGCCATTTTCTCAAGCTGGAAACCTCCTGGCTTCAAAAAGAGCCGCACTGAATGGCCCTGGGAGTGGGGATGGACTCAGGATGGACCCAGGCGGCAGATTCAGTGGCTAAATCCTTTTGATAATATCAGGATGCCACCCAATTTAAATTTTAAACTGGACCAAGTAAGGTGATTTATTTAAGTATGCAACAAGCTCCTTTACATACAAATCATTGGGTAAAACATAAAAAGAGCTGTGCTGATTCAGACTATGGATATCTTGAGACCAGTTTCTCAAGATGGTGCATGCTGACAATAGCCCACTAATTCTCTTACTTCCTATGTACTGTGTGTGTGTTGCCCTCAATTTATGGTGACCCCATTATTTTCATAGGATTGTCTTGGGCAAGGAATACCTAGAGGTACCTTTGCCAGTTCCTACCTCCGAGATATAGCCCAGTGCACCTGTATTGATGTTAAAGATGTAATCAATTCTCTTAATGAAGCAACTGTGGTATATCAATAGTCCAAAGCTTTTAGGTAGTTCCACCATTGATGTAGAAATCTCTACAGTTTGTCTCACATTGGCACCTACTTGCACTAGAGTCAGACTTTTACATCTTGTTCTTCTTGTATTGCACAAGCTGGAAGGTTGTCATTTCCAAGCAATTTGTTCAGACACCCAAGTGAACAGAAAATGTTGAAGAAATAGTTAAGGGGAGAAAAAAATCTGCCATCGCCTCTGATGCACAGTCTTTGTTTGTTTTCTGAAGCTGCTGTTAGGTTTCAGTCAGCACTCTAGCCTGTCACTTTCTGTTCCTGCCTTTAGAAGTCATAGGCGTTAATAACACTTGTGGTGGTGGTGGCAGTTGTGTGCCTTCAAGTCATTTCCAGCTTATGATGACCTTAAAGCAAGTCTATCACAGGGTTTTCTTGGGAAGATTTATTCAGAGGAGGGTTTGCCTTTGCCTTCCCCTGTGGCTGAGTGTGATTTGTCTCATGAATATTAACTGGTGGGTTTTCATGGCTGAGAGGGGATTCAAATTCTGGTTTCCAGAGTTACAGCCCAACGCTCAAACCACTACACCATGCTGGTTAATAACACTAGTACTAGGGAAATGATGTTAGTAATAAACATGATAATAAAAATATGGGCTATTGTTGCCCTGTTGATCTTGGAAATCAAAGCATTTCTTGTCCACACCATCCCCCATGTGTGAGAGACTGTCATGGGAAATTTTTGGCCCTCCAGGCATTACTGGACTATAGTTTCCATCATTGCTGGCCTTTGGATGCTGGCTGGAGCTGATGGGAGCTGGAGACTCACACCATGAGTTCTCTATGCCTGATGTCAAACTGTTTATGGTAAAATGAGCTCCTCATATGACTGACTGAATAAATAATTGGACCTGTTAAAGGTTGTAGACAGTCCAAAAATGTGTATATTCCAGAGTACTGAAGAAGGGATGTTGGATCTCAAAATGCAGCCATCCTGTTGTTCTTGTGGTTACAGATTGTATGCTTCTATCAAGCAAAATGGTTGAAAACCCTAATCTCCTAAAACAATAATCACTGCAGAATACACCCTATTATAGTATAATGCCAACACTTGATGCCAGCACCAGTGCTGTGAAATCCACTGACTTAATTAATTGGACCTCTATCAAGATAATGATTTCTTTGCCAAAACCAACAGTAGTACTGTAATTGATTGAGGAACAGGACCCGCTGTTCTTTATTCCTAACCTCACCATTTGTGAACAATTAGTCTACATAGTGGCCTAGCTAATGAACAGCAATTGATCATTATGATCTTTTAAGAAACTGCCTGTATGCAATTCAGGTGGATTGATCAAAGATGAAAATATCTCATCATTTGGAGACAAATTTCTTTCACTGTCTAAGGCATGATTTTTGTTGTATAGAGCACCAAGGTATTTCATCTCAGGACATGATTAACATAAAAAATCTGAGGAGCTGACTCAATTAGGCAACCCTTTGAACACTGGTTCCACAATATACATTCAGTCTTGTTCATATACACCAACTGTCAGTATAAAAGGATTAAGAACATCAACTCGGAAGGATGTTTATCCTGTCATTGCTTTTGAAAAAGAAGGATTTGCCAATCAAGCACATGCTGTAAAATGGTTAGACTTTTACTTGCTTTTCAACTCCTGTTCCCTTCTTTTTGTCACCATAATTGTAGCGCTGTCAGTCATTAGCATGAAAAGTGCCTGTATCTTATGTAATGACTATACAGCCACCACCAGCAGAAATATTAAGTCAACCTT